TCATTTAGTTTTATTTTTTATTATTTCCTTACTTAAAATTTAATCCTCTTAAGATTAAAATAATATTGCAATATATATATATATATGGGCTATTTATTTTCTGTCTTGTCATTTTTCTTACCTTTGTTGAGATATTATTCACATATAATTTGCTTAAAGTGGACAACCCAGTGGTTTAGAGCATATTTGCAGAGCTGTGCCACAACCATTCAGATCTTTTCCTGTTACCCTCGAGGGCACAGTCTTAGGCACATGGCAGCCCCTGGACATGGCTGGTGTTAGCACAGTGCTCTGGCTGTCTTTCCCTGGTCTGTCCAGCTGTCAGCTTCATCTGGTATCATACCCAGCCCAGCAGACTCCGATAACTGCATACTTGACCAAGGATCATCGTTTCTGAAAGTACTGCAACACAGAAATTGCTCCACACCCTGGTCCAGTGGAATCCAGGTGGGTGATGTGGAGGACAATCTTTGGGTTTGCTTGAAACCCAGGGGGGCTCTTCTGGGCTGTCTCTTGCCCATTTTCTCTGGTGCACTAGCTGGCCTCTGGGCAGCGCGTTGCCTTACTTAGGAGGAGCTAGTTTTTGAGGGAACCCTCAGGCTTGGACATCCCCACACTTGGTTTCAGATAAGGTTGGTTTCTCTGGGGACAGCTTTGGCACTGTCCCCCTGTGGACTGCCTGTCCCCCAAGGTCAACTCTCTGCGGCTTGACCCTGGTGTTGGGTAGTGGACCTGAGTCTTTTCTGCTCGCCCTCCCCCGGAACGTGTGCTCTGTGAGTGAGCTGGGAGGAGAGGGTTAGGGCCCCAGTATCTTGGCCTGCAGTGCCCAGATCAGAGTCCCTGTCCTGTGGGCAGTGGCTGGGAGGAAGGAAGCTCCAACTCTTGGCCACACTTGCCAGGAATTCAATCTTTTCTATGTGGAGTCGGAGGGCGTGGGAAGAGCAGGTGGCCCGTGCCTCCTGGTGGCACGTGGAAAGCCTTGGCCAGGAGAAGGTGAGAGGGAGCCCCGACCCCTTGGCCTCATCCCTCAGCAGTGAAGCGTCTGCCAAGCTGAGCTGACAGGCCGGGACCAAAACCCCACAGACTCGGCGTTCTCACCACAGCGTTGCACACTTTCTTGGGTAAGCGTGTTTCCCACTAGTGGTGTGCCCTTAGATAGCTTCCAGGGGATTTAAATGGCTGCTTTTCTGAAAAATTGTTTTTGCCAGATTTTGTGTACGTCACTGGAGGGTGGTCCTTGGAGCTCCTTGTGATGTCATCCTAGAAGTAGAAACTGTATTTTACACTGTGACAATGACAGCCTCTGTGTGGTGAGTCTGCCTTCTGATTCAGCTCTGGTAGAATCCCTTAAGTTTTGACAAGCATCTTCTAACTTTCTGTGGTACTTATTTTATTTTCTGAAGCCAATGGGAAGAACATTTGGGTATTCAGATGAGTTATCTGTCATCTATTTGCCTATCTATCCTCTACTTACCTACTTGCTACCTACCTACCTACCATCACCAGTCTGTCTGTGTGTCTACCTATATTTCTGGTTGTTGGGACTCCCCACGTGCCTAGTCTAGCTTGGGTTGGATTTGATGTCTTGGAGAATGGTTCGTATAGTTTCTGTTCTTTGCAATTTGAAGAACTGATCTTTCTGGATGGTAAGTACGTGACACATTTTTTAAAAAACAACTTGGGGAAAAGGTCTGTTCCCTGCTCATGGGGCCCAACATTCAGCACGTCTGTGGGTTTAACTTTATTATGTTCTATCCTCTGGGGACAGGGTGCGGGGACAGGGCCTGTGTTTGAGGCGTGCTGTGGAGGATTCGGCTGGTGCCGGGTGATCTCACGGGAAACCCCGCTTCCTTGTTTCCTCAGGTGGCACAGAATGCAGGTTCTAGAAAGGACTGTGGACCTTTTCCAGCTTACTTCCTGTTCAAAAATGGGGGAAACAGCCCACTCCAGGCCACACAGCAGGCCACAAACTCGGACTCTGGGCCCTGAGTCCGGGTGGCCGGGGAGAGCGCCACGTCTCTGGTTGTGGTGCGCTGGATTTGGCTTCGGTCTTCAGGGTTGTCTCTGGGAGCTGGCGCTTTAGGAATGGATAGCGGTGTTTCTTACAAAAAAAATGACCTCTGTTTATCCGTAGGCACTTTACAGTTTGCAAAGCCTCTCCTCTGCATCGTCTCATTTGCTGTCAAAGCAAGGCGGAGGCTCACGTAGGTGAAGACACCGAAGCCCAGAGACGGGCAGCCCATGTCAGCGTGGGGCTTCTGCCCCAAGGCCACGCGCCCCTTTGTGGGGCCCAGAGTGCAGTCCCGTGTGGGCCCAGAGCTCTCATTCCTGAGAGGTTCCTTGAGGCAGAACTGCGATATCCTGCAGGGCTTTTCCTTCCTCTGTTGGAGCCTTGCCCTGGAGCTGGCTGGACATCAGGAGCAGAGTGGGAAGTCTGGACAATCGTTTATTTTTAAACACCACTCCACTGCGCACCTGGAGAGGAGGGCTTGCGGGCTGGGTGTGTCCTTGGAGCGGTTCTCAGGCCCAGTCTCACGTTTGCTGCCTTTGCTTTCCTTCCTGGACGAGGCCTTGAGTTCCCGTACGACAGCTGCCCTCTCCCCACCCTCCTTGGGTGGCTATTGATTCACCTGGGACTTTTGGTGCCACCAAGATGGGCCTGGAAGCTACCCAAGGCTCCGACTGCTTGTCACATCCTGCATAATTCTGTGCACTAGTTTCCTCTCACTGTGTGACAAGTCGTCCTGAGATGGAGTGGCTTGAAAGGAGAACACCTGGGCAACTCCATGGCTCTGAGGATCAGGAACTTGAGGGCAGCTGAGCCGTTCTGGTGGGGTCTCTCATACTGATGTACTCAGGCCTTGGCTGGGGCTGCCACCAATGTAGGTGTGCAAGGGCTGGAGGGTCTCCTTCCACCCAGGGCTGGCACTGGTAGGCAGCCTCCGTGACTTTCACGTTGACCTCTGCATAATGCTATATTAGGTTTGGGGACAGATGAATTCTAAGGCCCTTCCAACTCCCAGCATGCTCGTAGGTTACCATGACCCTCTCTCGTCCCCTGGGGTGCACACGGGGCTATTTTAGGAACTAACTTATGAGTTAGTCTTGGTTGTTGGCTGCACTCAGAATCATTCCTTCGAAATTCTTGGCACCTGATGCTGTTCCTGTCAAAATTCAGAGTGCCTTTCTCTTCCACTGCCTGGCATTTCTTTCAACAATGACACTTTCTTGGTCTCCCATGTGCCAGGCCCTGTCCCTCCCTCTCAGGTCTACTAGCAGCTTCTTTAAAGCCTGCAGTGCCCAACGCTGGCCTGTCTTCTCTCAGAGCCTTCCCCTTGGTCTTCATCACAGTCCCCAAATGAGGGGTGGACCTCCCTGTGGCTCATCAGCACACAAGACAGGCAGGAAAGGGAGTCGGAGCTAGAGGCCATGGTGGCCGGTGGGGTGGGGCAGCCCCAGGAAACAGAGTCCAGTCAGATGTGAACAGATGGCTGGTGCCTGCGCCTGCGCTGAGAGGGCCCTGCTCAGGACAGCAGCCCCCCACCCCCTCCACTGGGTAGGCCTTGCGCACACGTCTACATTTAAATACCAAACCTGAGAAGATGTTTTCCAGAAAGGAGCCTCCTGGAAAGCTAACAGGCATTTTGTGCCCAGCCGGCAATGTGATTTCCAATCACAGGATGGTCTTCTAGGCCTTCAAAGAATCAGAATTAAACCCTGGCTCTGACTCTGTGGACCCCAGTTTTCTCATCTCTAAAATAGGCTGCTAAGACTCACCGATGGGGAGAATTACATGAAATGGCCCATCGGAACCCCTATGCTGGCCCTGCCCCCCGACAGCATCCTGGGCAGCAGCTTCTCGGCCCCTCCTTCATGTGGCTGAGGACTCGGTGAGGGCTTCAGCCCGGGGGTACATCAGGGAAATGAATCTGCCAACAGGGTTCCACCTGGCCCCTTCCTACCCAGGACACTCCCTAAGAGACTGATAGGTGAGCGAGAGCCGGTGGCTGAGTAAGGAGGGAGCGGGGCCTGGGGTGCAGCATGGATCTCAGCGGGGGCTGGACTCTGACTCTCCCAGCCCTGACGAGAGATGCTGAGAGATGGGGCACCGTACAGCATGTGAGCCTGGAGGCGCCCAGGCCCAGCCTGTGTGGCTCACAGGGAGGCTCCCTGGGGTCCAGCAGGGTCCAGCCTAGTCCCTGGGCCACACTTGCTGCTGTTACCTGGTGCAGGCCCTGGGGGCGTCACTGTTGAAAGACTGGCCTGTTGAGGAGGACGGGCCTCCGGGTTGTTTCTTCCCTGGTGGGGAGCAACAGGCTTGCTGGAGGCTCCCTGGTGGGGAGTTGTCACCCTATTAAGCAGCTGACCAGGACTGTGTGTTTTTGAAGGTGAGTTTATACCATTGTATTCAGGACAACGAGTCTGGGAAGGGCTGAGGGGTGGTGGTGCCCGGGAGCCTGAGGGTGGGACTCTGCAGCCTGTCTGTCCACACAGTCTCAGGACCTGTGCACCAACCCCCCGCCGCCTTAGGTTTTGTTCCCAAGGCCTGTGCCTCAGCTGGAACCCAGGGTTCCTGGGCAACCGAAGGCAGAGGAGGTGTGGTAGCCGAAGCAATGCCACCTTCCTGAGGTTCACAGAGCTGGTGACTGGGACCCAGGGGCTCGTGGTATGTGCCAGGGGCAGGCCAGGGCGATTAAGAGAGGAAGTGGGAGAGCGAGACGGCCAGGCTGGACAGTGAACCCCCACGCCCTGCCACGGCCTCAGATCCGAGGGGCTCACAGGCACTCAGAAAATCTCAGACCGGCTGGGTGTCAAGGGTGGGTGACTCTGTCAACTCGCCACCTCTGCACCCTTCTGCTCCAGGCAGATCCTCCTGTCAACACTGACAGGGGGAGAGAACTTGGGGTTCACTCATGAAGAGGGGTGCACAGCACAGGTGGAGGTTCTGGAAAGTTCTCTCAGGCGTAGGGAGGAGGGTTGGTTCCACTTCATCCCTCAGTGGAGACCTCGAAGATGACAAAGGAGAGTGCTGAACTTCCCAGGAATGAGCCTATGGCACTCCAGGCACTTACAATTACGTCAAAGTGAGTCCTAACGTTATGCATAACAATTAGGAGCCAATTAATAAAAGAAGTGACATGGGGCTCCTGAGGCCACCCCATCTGAGGCCCGTGGAAGTGACACGAGGAGGCTTCCACACTGGAGGCTCACAGAGACCGTCCCTCAGCGGCACTCTGGCCCTTAGCGGATGTGTGTTCCTCCTCCTGTTTCTGAGCAAGTCCCCTGTGGTCTTCCTGTCCCACTGTAGGCCTCACCTTTTCCTGGGAGGACAGTGGCCTCAGCCTCCTGGCCTTGCTGCCTCCTGCCTCTCCCTGCCAGCTGTTCCCCTGGCCCATAGCTGTCCCTGCCTGCAGCAGGCCACTCCCAGCTGGGCAGGGCCCATCCCCCACTTCTTGACCATCATGGCCCTTGCACCTTAGGGATGGTGGAGGCTGACTGTGCTGGAGGCCCAGGGGACCCACAGGGCAGCCCCTCCACCCGTCACCCCTTCACACACGGCTGGCAGAGTCCAGTCAGCTCAGCCCTGCCCCAGCTGAGCCCGCTGCCATTTCCTCCCAAACACTCACTTTAAACAAGTGGGGGATGAGCCATCGGTAAGTGGGACGGCACTCAGGTGGCGGTGCCTCCACACCATGGCGGCTGGACCATGGAGCTTTAGGATGCTCTCTGCAGTGCCCTGCATCAGAGCTGCCCAAGCCAGTGTCGTGGTGCTTGACCTCTCGGCCTCGCTGGGGAGCACCCAGGCACGGGCAGCCTCAGTTTTCCCCTGTGATGCAGATGGCGCCACCTGACATTGGCTGTTGCGTGTTCTCCCAGGGCTGCGGCGGCAAGTTACCAGAACGTCGGTTGCTTCAGACAACAGAAATTTGTCCTTTCCCAGGGAGGAAGCCAGAAGCCCTGGACCTGGGCGTCTGTAGGGTGGTTCTCCCTCGGGGGCTCCAGCGGGCTCCTCCTGGCCCCTGGCAGCTGTGGGCTGTGGGCACCCTGGTGGCCACCTCTGTGTGGCCTTCTCCTCTGCCTGTCTTCTTTCCACCTTTCATGAGGACACTTGTCACTGACTTGGGGCCCACTCTCATCCAGGATGATCTCATCTCGATCCTCACCTGACATTGGCAAAGACCCTTTCCCCAAATAAGGCCACATTCCCGGGTTCTGGGGTATTTTGGTGGCCCCCTCTGTCCACTCCAGCGGTGTCGTGAGAGGCTGAGGGATGTCCAGGCAGCAGGCGAGCCCCGGTGTCCAGCGCTGGGAACCTGCACCAGGGCAAGCCTTGTGGCCTTGAACGGCTGCCTGCCCCCTCCCCACCTGGGAAGTGGCAGCTCCTGTGGTTGTGGGGGCACGTGAAGAGGTCGTGGGCAAAAGGCTGCTGGTCCCTCCCCGTCAGTCCTACATGGTGGAGCTGAGGCCGTCCGTGGAGGGGACTTGCCAGCGTCCATGGTGGATAGTGGTTGGAGGTGAAGACTCTTGGCCTCCCATCCAGTGCCCATGTTGGGGTCCTGCTGTGCCCGGGCGCTGGGCTGAAGGCCTGCTGGCCTAGAGAAGGACACCAGGCTTGGTTCCTGCCTCCTTACTCACCCTCACCCATGTCACCGGGGTGTGGAGACCGGTCCTTCTTACAGGAAGGGGCCATGCCTGGGACTGGCCCATGGGCGAGGGAGCTCCCTTCCTCCCCTTCCAGGCCCTGCCTGGGACCCTCTGAGCCGCGTGGCTGGTGTGCTGTCTTGGGCTGGAGGTGGGGCACCTGGTGTGGCTCTGGAAAGCGTTGGCACCTCCTCTTGGGCAGAAGGAGTGAGAAACCCATCATGGGATAAGGACAAAGTGCTTGAGAGGCCAGGGAGGAGCTGGCGTTCCGTGTGGGTCTTGACGGTGAGTAGCAGCTCATTAAAGTGCAGTAGGCATCTGTAGCTGTGGACACAACTGCCCACCAATTTAGGGGTGCATTTGCTTACACCCATTGGTTATTTCATGGTTTCCATAGTTAGGAATGTGAGAGCGGCTCAGACGAGTGGTTCAGGCTTAACGTTTCTCACAAGGATTCAATCAAGGTGACCCCAGGTCTTCGGTCATCTCAAGATTTGCCTGGGAGGTCACTCACCTGGGTCTCCCTGTGGCTTCCCCAGAGTGGGCCATCCAAGAGAGAGCAAGACCGAAGTTGTAGCTTTTTGTTAACCTGATTTTGATGTGATGACCCATCTCTCTGCCGTGTTTTTGTTTGTGAGAGGTGAGTCACAAAACCAGCCCACTCTCCAGGACATGAATTCCAGGAGGTGGGGGGCATGGGGGCATGTCAGAACCTGCTGACCCCGTGGGGTTTTGGGGTGTCTGGTAGACAGCTGGTACGTGACCCTGGTGAGCTGGTTAATGAATCATGAATGAGCACCACCACGGAAGGGTCTGCATTCTCTCGTGACTGCAATGTCACACGCTATTGTAGTCGTTAGCAGAAAAAGCTCACATTTCTTCCTTCATGGTCGTCCATGAGGAAGGGGCTGCTCAGAGATGAGGACGCTGAGGGCCTTGGGCTGGTAGAGAGGCCTTTCAGCCTTCGAGAGCATGTCCCTCAGCCCGGGGCTGGGCTCCACCCTGCACCTAATGAGGGTGCTCCATAAGGTCCCCTGAGGGAGGGGACAGCCTCTACACAGTGCCTCTTCCCTCAGGCAGATGGCGGAATGTGGACAGCCCCAAGGTCATTTCAGGGTTGACAGTGGTTGATTTATTTGCTATTTTTGTTCAGAGGAAGGTGGTGACATTTCAACGCTGCAGGAGCACATGTCCCGGGTTGGCAAAAACAGGAAGGCGTCACATTTAGCCGGAGGCCATCCTGCGTGGCCTGGACACATCTTCCTGTCCTAGCCCTGCAGGGAGGCAGCTCCCTGGACAGCCCGCTGCAGGTGCACATGCCCAGTGTGGGCGCAGGGTTCACGGTGCCCAGGAAGGCTCTTGGTCCTGCTGTTTGTGCAGCAGGAACTCAGCTCTGTGCTTTCCACAGAAGCTCCCAGCCCCAGGCCCCCCTGGACCGTGAGGCTCTGAGAGGAGTCCAGGCCCAGGGAGGAGCGGCCCCTGGGGAGCAGGCAGGGACCCTCCCTGGCCGTGGCTTCTGTCTGCCTGCTCAGCTGGCCAGCAGACGGGTGACGGTCCCTGTGAGAACAAGAGACAAATGGCCTGGGCCAGGACGGTGTCCTGTCCTGGGGTCGTCGCCCTCAGAGCCCAGTGTAGCTGCACCCCGAGGTCCAGGCTTCCGGTTGCAGCTCGCATCATTCTGCTGGAGAACCTTGGCCACAGCCTTCCCACTGAAGGAAGGTCCCAGTCTTCCTTCCCACCCTGCAGCCCCTCCCGCTGGAGCCTGCACAGGTATCACCTGGCACCTGCTTGAAACGCAGAGTGTGATTCAGCAGGTCTGAGGCGGGGCTGAGATCCTGGGAGTCACGAAGCCGCTTGGTGGTGTCCAGACGGGCACTCCACCAACTCCAGGGTCCCCGCTGCCCCTCGAGGCAGTGCTCCTGGGTTCTGGGCATTAGGAGGGAAGTGCTGGGCACTCCCTCTGGGCCTGAGTGTGGAGCTTCCGTAGGAGGGTGTAGGCCAAGCGCTTCAGGGCAGAGCTTGGTCAGTTGTGTCTGGGAAAATGTCAGGAGTCACTGCAGCCCACGTCCAGAGTGAGGACGGCGTTTCAGCCACCGGGAGGCCATTGCAGACCCCAGGGAGGAGGAGCATCCCGGGCTCTCGGCTCAGCAACGACAGGGCCCCCAGTGGTCAAGGAGGTCATCACCAGCTCCAGCGTGCTGGGTGGCCGTGGGCCGGCTCCTTCCCCCTCCTTCCCACCTAAAGAGCAGCAGCATCTGTCCGTCTGTGTGTGGACATCTTTCCAGCTCCACTCTCTGGATCTGGCCCCTCCGGAGCCACCAGATGGTCAGAGTGGGAAGGACTGCTGCAGGGTCCTGGGGGACTTGACCAGCACATGGAGGGCACACTGGCTGGCACTTGGGGACACATTGTCAGGATACTTGGGCCCAGGTTGACAGTATTTGATGAACATGTTGTCAGTATACTCTGGGGACATTTGGGGGATTACTTATCAGATACCCAGGGCACAGGTGGATGGGGCACTTGAGGGACATTGGCCATCACTGGGTAGGGATAGGGAGGCTGGCTGAGCTGCCTCTGGTCCTAACCAGCTGCTGATAGTGATCTGAGGTTCGGGCTTGAGGTTCAGGTCTAGACCGCCCCTCTCTCTGCTGGGTGGTCCAGGCAGGCGCTGTCCTCACGAAGCTTTCTACTCTTCTTTCAAACATGCAGCTGGGTCTCAGGAGGACAAAAGGAATGGAGATCCTTTCTGCTTCCCCTCCTGAAGGGTGGAGCAGCAGGAAACAGACCTTTAGAGAAGACGGACTGAGCAGACCGTTGTCCCAGTGCTGGCCAGAGGAGGCCAGGCCTGCATATCCCTGGTCCTGCCGAGGACCCATCTGCCAGGGCAGCCCAGGACAGCACCGTGGGGGGCTGTGCACCCCCACGTCCACCCTGCTGTGGCTGCACATTTTCTTTCCAAGTTTGGCCTCCATGGTAAACAGGAGACACCAGATTTCTTTCCACTCTCTGTCCCCAGTCCCCGCCCGCGTCAGCACACCAGCCAGATGTTTTCCTCTGGTCTCGGCTCCCGCCAGGCAGGGCACGGCTTTGAACCTGAGAAGGGAAAACACAGCTGCAGGGGGAGCCAGGCACCCCCGCCCTGTGAAGGGAAGGAGCCCTTGTTTGCTCAGTGACTGCTTTCTGAGTGTGACATCGGGACCTGGTGGGGCTGGGGTGTCCTGCCCTCAAGGCACTTGTAGCCTGGGGGAGTCCAGAGTGTGACTAAGGGTCCCCTGGGAGGAGAGGGGGCTCCCTGAGGGGCACAGCCTGGGCGGAGCCTAGGAAAGCCAGGAGGGGGCAGGGAAAGGGTGCACCTGGAATTGGGGGCCCTGGGGCGGGTGGAGGGGATGGAGGGGAGGGGGCACCCGCAGGCCTGAGCGCCAGCTCTGGGCCAGGTCTTCTTTGCATGGGGACAGTGGGGGCTCTGAAGGGTTCTGAGCAGGGGCCTGATGTGGGCAGACTCAGGACTCAGAGCTGGAGCCGGGCAGCAGGTGGAACCCTGGTGAGAGGTGTGGGGACTGGGCAGAGGCAGGTCAGGAGCAAATAGGTGAGAAGTGCAGCTGAGATCAGACGGGTCCTGGGGAGGGAGGGCCAGGTGTGTCCAGGACGTTGGAGTGGGCGAAGTCAGGCCTCAGGCCACACGGGGCTCAGGGCAGGGCTCCAGGCTCCCCAGCTGGCTGGGACGGCTGCATCCTGTCCTGGGGAGCAGGGTCCTGGGGAGCAGGGTCCTGGGGAGCAGGGTGCTGGGCAGGTACCAGGATGAGGACCTGGGATTAAACACACACTACCCAAGGGGGTGGGGTTAGCATTTTCGTCCTGAGGGCTTACTCAGTGGGAGGGGCTCCCTTTTCTAGGCAGTGCATAGCACTATCTCATCTAATCCCCACCTCCCCATTTTACACAGGAGAACACTGAGCTTTGGGGGGAGCACAGGGCTCACAGCGGGGGGGTGGCAGGGCTAGATCTCTCCAGGCAGTCCAATTGCTGAGACTGGGGGCAGGGGCCAGACTCCCCTGGGATGATGCGGACTGGCTGGGAGAGTGGCCTGGCACTTGGCACGCTAAGCTGCCCACCCAGCAGAATTCTTCTCCTTTCTCTTAAGCCAGGGCCGACTTCCTTCAGATCCTTCATCTCCTGCTGCTTAAGGGCCTCAAGTGACAGCTGGATGACACAAAATCCTTGATGATGAGGCTCTCTCAGCCCAGGTCCAGGAAGATCCGTTCTTTTCCACCCTCCTCCTCCTCCTCCCTCCTCTCCCTCCTCCCTCTCCTTCTCCCTCCTC